CATCTTTATTGGTGCACAGACATGTGCGAAACCTACATTCGCAGTCAAGACTCGCGCCGGCTCGCCCGGGGTGCACAGCTGCCGGCAATGCGAGGCGACAGCTCCGACGAGGCCGAGTGGGAGGAGGAAGAGAACCGGGCGGAGCGGTCGGGACGCCAGAGCTTCAAGGCCAGCTTTCTCGCCAAAGTCTTCTCCTCTGTGATCGGCTACGGCGCGGACTGGAGGCTGGCCCAATTCGTCTACGACTTGTGGCTTTGGAGCAGTCTCGGCGGGGCGAAGCATTGCGGCGGTGTTTCACTGCGTGGCGCATTGGCTGGGAAGAACTTCTCGCCGACTTATTGGCAGAACATGCATGCCGCGCTTGTGGATGTCGTGAAGCAGATCGGCTTCCCCTCCCTCTTCATCACGGTGGCGCCTTGGGAGCCATCGGCCCCGTACCACGCGTGGTTGGACGACGAGCTGGGCAAGATGCTACGCACCCGCACCAATCTCCCTGCCGCCGAGACGTTTCACCTCGCGCATCTCCTCACCCAGGTGGCCGAAGGCCTTATCGCAGGGACGAACAAGCGAAACCTCAAGGCGAGACACCGCTGTTGGAGAGAGCACGTCCTCGCAGCCGCCGATGGCAAGACCGACACAGTGGTCGAGATCTTCGGGCGCCTCGAGTTCCAGGATGGGAAGCGGAAGCGCTATGCCGGGCCGGCACAAAGCTACCACGGTTCTGGCCGAACTCATCTGCACCTGTTGGTCTGGTTGAAGAACATGTCCGCGCTGGACTGGCCGCGCGTCTTGAGAGCAGATTTAGCGGAAGACGAGCCAGAGATGCAAGACCTGGTGGCGGGCTCGCAGTTAGACTACGATAGCAGTGCCTGGCCGCTACACGAAGGCCCGACGACTTTCGATTCGTCGAACGGCCGCATCTCGCTGCATCACCCACGAAAAGCCAAGGCAGCGCACGTGAGGGCTTTCATGCCAGATGTCATTGCAGCCATGCAGTGCCACATGGACGTGCAGACCGGCGACGGGCGAGCGTTGCTGCTGCAGTACGTCGCAAGCTACGCAGCAAAATTCAGCGACTCCTTCGCCACCTCCTGGTTGAACGACGAAGCCTCGGCCTACCACTTGGCTCGGAGGATCTTGACGGAGTACCATCCTTTGGAGCCGGAGATGTGGCTGCAGCTGGGCGCGCAGTTCTTCCGCCAAGTCATCGCAACCCCAGTGATGCGGCGAGTGAGCGTGCGGTGTCCTTGGACTAGCCAAGTTGGCATTTGGGAGACAGCGTACATGGAATGCACATGGCGGGATGAAGACTGCACGCTGCTGCAGTACATCCGCATGTCCAACAAGGATGGCAGGCAGCGTTCCACGCAGCATGGGGGCGGTCGCCGTCGGGTCGCCGTCTCAGCTCAGATGAACAGCCNNGTTGAAGGATTCCTTTTACGGACAGTGGCTGATTCTCAACGTGCCTTTCCGAGACATTGATGACCTGTGGGACGACCGCGTGCTCCGAGTGCCGGAAGGCTACCGCATGCTCGCCCTGTGTCTTCTCCACCGCCCCGGCCTTTGGCGCCGACCGCTGGAAGTGAAACACGAACTACAGTTGGAAGGGTATCGTGACGCGCATGTTTGCAACATCCTAGCCATGTTGGAAGGTCACACGGCCGTCATCGATGCCTACCTTTCGGGCCGCTTGGATTTGCAACATGATCCGGAACCCGATCCCGGCTCCTTCGCAGCACCGGAGCTTGGGTTTCGCGGGGCTCTGGACCCCGAACAAGCCGTCATCGTCGAGAACATCCGGGAGATAGTTCGTTTTTCGATGCAGAGGCGGTATCCCGACGATGCCACGGTAGAAGACCTGCAAGCCTTGATGGACCGAAGGCCGGAACGGGGACCGCAACGCCCTCTGTGCATCCTTGGGCCTGCGGGGAGTGGCAAATCCACATGTGTGGAAGTGGCGATAAAGCGTGCTGCAGAAGCTGGTGCGCACGTCGGAGTGGCGTGCCCAACCGGTGTGCTGGCCAGCAGCTACAGAGAGAAATTCCCCGACCTAGATGTCGACACCGTCCACGGTATGTTCCTACTTCACAAGCCGGAGCATGAAACTTGGGACGCCATGATGCCTTTCGATATGGCGGTCATCGACGAGGTCGGGCAGCTTTCCGAAGAGCATTTCGAGCGGCTGCTGCGACTTTGGGACCATACAGAGAGGCGGACGGTCTTGGTGTTCGTGGGAGACTTCCACCAGCTGCGGGGAATAGGTAACACTCGTGCAACGGACAGTCGCCGCTGGCAACA